GAATGAATGATATAAAGATGGTAGTATCTTCATGGGACAGTTTCCCCAGATGTTGATAGCCTGGAGAAAATAGCTAGCACCGTGGGTGCTGTCCTTGGTTCTGACCCATTTAACGTATTTGTCCACAACTTGGAATAAAAACTTCCTATTGCCCATCCTGCAGACCTGATGCATGATGAAAATCAGAATTCTAGAGACTGAAATGAATGGGTCAGATAGAGGTTTGGAGGTGAATTATAGTAAGGGTAAATATAAACTGCAAGAAACTGCCCCCAACCTTTCCAACTGGCTGTACACTTTCACATATGGGGAACATTGTTTTAATAGATATTTCTGAAGGCGAGGCTTTGGATTAACTCATTGCCACCATCTTGGGGGTCTGCTGTGACTGTTAGATGAAGGCAGTTCAGTCTTTGACTGTATTAACTGTAATATAATAATGAGTATAAGAAAGGATGGTGGTCCCAGTGAAGTCTTCGTTATCCTTAGGTATTAGATCTAATCCAGAGTAGGAGTGCTAGGAATAAAACCCAGAGTCTCATATGCTAAACAAATGCTGTGCAACTGAACCTCTCTCTCTCTGTCTCTATCTCTCTGCCTCTCTCTCTCTCTCTCTCTCTCTCTCTCTCTCTCTCTCTGTCTCTCTGTATTATCTCTCTGTCTATCTATGTATCTCTGTGTGTATCTATCTATCTAATTTTGAGAAAGGATCTGACTTACGTTGCCCAGGCTAGCCTCAAATTTACGATCTTCCACTCTCAGCTTTCTGAGTACCTCATGTGACAGGTGTGTGCTGTTGTTGTGCTAGGCTGTAAAGCAGTTGTTAGACATAATTTCATTTTGATATTTTCAAAATTAAGCAGAGATTATTTCCCCTATTTTATAAGGATGAGGAAAGTGAGGTTTTGAAAGTTTAGTGATTTACTTGCATCCTGGTCCTTAACAGTAAACTAAAGTTATTCTACCTCTTCTTTTTATTTTGATAAAGAACAAACATTAATCTAGCAAAGTGCTTTATTGTCTTTAAAATCTCTTCATAAGTCTGTTTAATTTGATTCTTACTGATTCTTACTAGTGTGAGAAGGGGCAGTTGTTACCGGTGATTACCATTTTGTATGGTAGAAAACCAAGACAAAGGGACATTTTGATATTTGTTTTATCTTTTAGAAATAGTAAGAATTAGTAGATAGTGAACCTCCAATATAAAATTGGTATTTTCTGACTATATATTCTGTGTTTTCATCTCTAGACAGAACAGACTTGCAGAGGAGCTGCATTTCGTGCAGTTATATTGGACACTTCTAGAACTACTGAAAGGGAATCGACAGGTAGCACAGTGCTGCCAATAGTTATCTTCTCTTTCTATGTAAATGTCGGGCAGAGATTGAATCTTGAGTGATTATCTATGTGAGGACCCTTGAATTATGTGGGCTGTTAAACCCAATAATTTCCAGAGTTCCAAAACTTGTAAACATGTGGCTATTGCTTTTGAGGATTTTTACTATCTGTTCAGAAATATAAAGTGGATATGCACAATAAGAAGATAAAACAATTGACAAAAATAGATCTAAGCACAACTGATTTTTAACATTTGATTTACGTTTAACTTTTCATAAGTTTTTAAGGGTGCGTCACTTTCGCCTGTTTGATTTTCTTAGCTCATAGGGAGGCACAGAAGGCATGACTGCTGGGTAGGGTTTGTTGTAAGTAAGGGGAATGAGCACAGATTTTGTAACAGGAAACCTGAGTTCTAGTCTTGGCTTTACCACTCAGCAAAGCCTTGAGTGTTTGCTTCTTTCTGTACCTCATCTGTAAAATATGGGGAGACATTACCCTATAGGCGTTTTGTAAGAATTATGTAAAAGAAAATGAAAATAAGTCATTATTTTAATAGGACAAACACAGAGCTTTCCAGAGTCAGCTTTTGCACAGGAAACAGTTGCCATCAGTTGTTTTATAATAAAAAATTAAAATGAAATGTGTATGTGTATATACAGCACTTGTACATTTGTGTATCAGTAGACCTTTTGATATTACTGAAATATTTTAGCTGGTTCAGAATTTATTTTTCTTTAAGGAAATGATGGTTGCGCATTTCTACCTTCCTGTCTAGTCCTTCATTCCCTTTTATATTTTGTAGAGCAAGGCTTAGATCACATAGCAGAAAACATTCTTTCCTACCTGGATGCCAGATCTCTGTGTGCAGCAGAGCTGGTATGTAAAGAATGGCAGCGAGTGATCTCAGAAGGAATGCTTTGGAAGAAGCTGATTGAACGAATGGTACGCACTGATCCTCTATGGAAAGGCCTTTCAGAAAGAAGAGGGTGGTAAGTACTTGAGTTGTTTATTTCTTTGGGAAAAAAAGTCTTTGACATAGTCAGCTTGATTATTCAAGAAAGCAGTTATACTTGGAACTGTGTTGGCCTATTTTAAACAAGGTCAAAAGTTGCGGGGGGGGGGCAGTTAAAGAAGTTAGAAGTTCTTTAGAAACACAAAATTTCCTATAGTAACTGTTAAAGAGTTAAATTTAGTTTGAGTAAGTGATTTGGCTTTTCAGAGCTATAAATTTATGCTTTTTCCTTAGGCAGTGATACCATCATCAAAAGATACATAAGACAAAAGAAAAATCTGAGTCAAATAATACCATTTTGCTATTTGTTGTTACTCCTGGTTGAGGATATAGGAGCTACAATGACAAGATTTTTCAGAGAAAACCCATGCACTTAAATGCAGCTTTATAGCCCTATGCATGACAGTGGCCTGGTCCAGTTAATGTAGAGAGAGAACTATGAATGGAAGTACAGGGTTGATGAGAGCAAAGGTTAGGGCTGTATTTCCTCTCTCCCTCCCTTCTTTCCTTCCTTGTTTACCTCCCTCCCTCCCTCCCTTCTTCTTCCCCTCTTCCTCCCTCCCTTCTTCCTGCCTCCTTCCTTCCCTCCTCTCTTCTTCGCTCCTTCCCTTGCCCTCTCAATCCCTCCCACCTCTCCTCTATCTTTCTTCCTCCCTCTTTTCTTTCTTCCTTTTTCTCAGAGTATCATTGAACCTAGAACCTTTACACTAAGCTTTATCCCCAGCCCGTTTTATTTTAAGACAAAGTCTCGCTGAGTCACTAAGTTTGCCTAGGCTGGACTCAAAGTTGGGGTCCTCCTGCCTCAACCTCCCGGAGTGCTTGGATTAATAGGCATGTGGTACCATGCCTGGCTGGGCTGTATTTTCTGTATGGGATGAAGTTTGGTATGGACTAAGTTAGATTTTTCTATGTACCACTTCTTATTAAATAAAGTCTCTAGAACAAAAGGCTTTGTTATTATGTATTGGCATTCAGAAAATAAAAGGCCAGCATTATGTCAGATAGCTGTAAATTGAACCAAACTTGTCTCTGAAAATTTTATTGTTAGAAATTCTGCTTTTGAACTATTAAAACTCAATGCAAGTTAAAAAAACATAAAAGATAAGATCTTTGTAAGCACCATGTTGAAATAAAATTTACCCTTTTATGTACAAAAATGTAACATCTGTTTTTATTTGCCAGGGACCAGTACCTGTTTAAAAACAGACCCACAGATGGCCCTCCCAATTCATTTTATAGATCATTATACCCAAAGATTATTCAGGATATAGAGGTAACTTTATGATTTATCTGTTTTATGGGCTTTTTGTGTCTTGTTCTCAATCTTCTGTATGTGCTTAGAGTGTTCTTTTGTTTAAAAATCACAGAGCTGGGGCTGGGAATATAGCTCAGCGGAATTGTGCCTGCCTGGCAAGCACGAGGTCCCGAGATCAATTCCTGGTACGAACAAACAAATAAGTAAATAAAATCAATCAATCAGTCATGGAGCTAGGTTTTATTTTTTTAAGTTGAGTTTTTGCAGATGTCATCATGCATCATCTGCAGCTATTCAGAGTAGGCCATGTCTTTTGTAAGACCTAACGTTTCTAAGACATGAAACCCTTCTGAAAGGCTACCAGTTCATCACTAATCCAAAAATAGCTTTTTATTCTAATTTTTTTTTTTTTAGCTTTTTATTCTAATTTGATAAATGTTCTAAAGCACAAGGTCTCATTTTTAAAAGTAATCATAGTTTTAAATTTGTGAGCCATCTCTAGAAGAGAAGGCACATTCTTAATTTTCTCTGTAAATTATCCATAATTTTTCATAAAAATGGTTCAGAAATTATTCTAAATATTAGTTAAGTGGGTTTTAGAGCAGATTATGCTCCTGGGCCATTTTGGCTTTGAATGTAACTTTCCCAGACCCATAAAACTCTGTAAACTTGAGGAGAAACATTAGAGATGTTTGATATTGTTCATGTGTTCTAATTAGTGTGGTTTTATTATTGAGCCCTTTCCCTTGAACCAGGCAAGACATGCACAGGCATTTCTCATTAACTCTTTCACATGTGTTCCTGGCTGGTCTTGGTTACTTCCCTATTTCCTCCTTGGCAGAAAAGTTCAGCCTTCTCTGGGTAAGGCTGCGTCTCCCATAAAGTTATACTCAGTTTCCCAAATGTGAAGTAATCATCTCCTCCAGGTGATAGACATAAAAGTCATTGTGCCAAAATTCATTAATGGAGAAACACGTGTTTTTTTTAGATCCTGTCTCCTCCCCCACCTCCACCCCTCCTTTTCAGTCAGATGTGAACTAATGGAACCATTCTGCCAGCGGTAAATCAGATTGTGACCAGAATATCATGATTTAAAACACGTTGTTGGTTTTTTTTTTTTTTTTTTTTTTTTTTTTTTTTTTTAGTGTTCTGCTCTCTAAAATGACCCAGAATATAACCTTTTAGGGAGGGTTAAATAATAGAAAATCATAAGGTTTAGGGATTAATGGATCCATTAGTGTGCAAAACTTAGAATAAATTGTCCTTGCAGTTAGTAGGTGACTGTTAGTAGGTGAGATTGAGTGTTAACATTTTTTTTTATGAATTTAGCTTTTATTCAAAATTAAATAAGCAAAAGCAAAAATTTTAAGAAACTTTTACAAATTACTTACATAAAAGAAAGTTAATAGAGACATTTGCAAGATGGCAACAAATAGTTACAAAAGTCTCTTGGGCAGCATGAAGATAAAGCACAGCATGGTGATCTAACTTTGATATAAATAAGGCGTAAACTCACCTTTGCACCAAGACCAGAATTGAAAAACAAAACAACCTTTAAAAGCTTAGTTCTGCATTAAGCTGCTTCTCTTCCCCTAGTCCTTAATGGGCTTATCTTGTGCAATTCTTTTTTTTTTTTTTTTTTTTTTTTTCTGGTACCTTGTTTTTTTTCTTGTACTGGGAATCAAACTCACGACCTTGCGCTTGCCCGGCAGGTGCTGTGCCGCTGAGCTAAATCCCCAGCCCCAAAGGTTA